TCCTGTGGTGACTGAGGTCAGTCAGGCTGGAGCAGCGTGAGTGACCTGTGCTATAACCTGGAGGGAGAGAAGAGTAAAGGAGCTGAATAAAATGTGCATATTTTGACTTGCAACAGAAGCAGTTGTGTGGTTTTGGCTCAAATTTGCATGTAAAGGAGAATACAGGTAGGTAAATGCTGCTGTCTTCAGTCTCATCAACATTGACCTTTTCTGTCCCGCTTTGTTTTTAATGTAATTATAAACAATCCTCTGAAAATTACATATATTGTAGATTTTTGAAGTGAAAAGTAAATCCAACTCCAAAGCAGCAAACAGACATTAAAATGAGCTGTTCTCCAGATGTCAACACACCTTCCTGTGAGACTGTCCTATAAAAAAATAAAAGACTCAACAGGTCATTTGTGCCAGCAGGTTATCACAAGCAATAGTTGCGTATTATGGTTTGGCCACCTCTAGTGACCTTAGAAATGAAAATACGAGCAAAGGAGGAAGTTAGGTGTGTAGTGTCCAAGTCCACAGCAGACATTTTGAAGAGATGCGTTATCCTGAGGAACTCAGAATATTGATAATGAAAAAACTAACTTCGATTCCAGGCATTGAGAAGCCACCAGAAATAACCTGATTGTCTGCTAAGTTTCAGCTCGAAGACTGATTCATGCAAACTGCCCTCTGAGCACACACTACCTCTCCTTATCCAATGGAGAGCCCAGATTCTGTCTCCACAGACCGACCCCCCCCGTGACCTTTACTTCACTAGGCCCATCTCTCCTTATCCCCCTGTCTCCACACTGGAATGTGGAAAAACCACCATAAACTAGGCTTAATACTCTCTTTTATGGACAAGGACACGTAATTGAGATTTGAAAATAGGAAATTGTCTTAACCAAAAGTTGTGTAAAATATTTACAAAAAAATTGGAAAGTCAAGCTGATAAATGATTCCTGAACCCGTTTATATGAAAATGTTTCCAAGAGGCTTGATTTTAAATTTGCTTATTATCTTTAAGATGCTTGATCAATCAAGCACCAGAGACCTTATGTGAATCTTGTCATCCTAACTTCCTCAGTACTGCTCAAAAGATTAGTTAGGAAATTGTTTTGATTCCTAAATTTTAATGGTTGTGTGCTGATAATCGATTGCTTTTCTTTTATCCAGTTAACCTTCCTCCTATCATTTGAAAATACCATTTCTTACTTTGCCTGGATGCTTAGACTGTTACTTCTGTGTTTAAGATTGTTCACATATTTCGCTTGTGATTTATTTATTTATTTATTTTTTTGCTTCATACCAGCCATGGTAGAGAAAAGTATGAACTGCATAAGATCTGATTCATAAAATGTGCTTAAAAGATTAATCTCATTCTGTTGCATCTGTACGTTAGCCATGAACCTTTTACAGTGCGATCCTAAAGGACCAATCAAACTCCCAGCCGGGGGGGGGCTCCAACTGGTAGACTCATTACCCATCAGGCAAAGCCAAATAGCCGAGTCAGCGTATGCCTACACAAGTCACTGCCGCTCCTTGCTCTCAGAACAGAGAATGAACACAGTGAACAGAAGCTTGCATGCATTTGCATCTCGCGTCAGTCTTGTGTTAAGATCACGTTTATTTAGATTGTGTGCAGATCATCACAAGAAGGTGTTTTTTTTTTAGCAATGTATAGTGATTTTTTTTTTTTTATCTATTTCTGTTAACTGGCAGGAAGCCAACCTGGAGTAAATGTGTGCCAATAATGAATGGCTCTTCAGCCAAAGTCTGTACAACAAAAGCGAGTTTTATTTAAGCCGAATCCTTTGTTAAACTATAGATGCCATCAGAATGCTCCTGTTACAGTCAGTTTAATTTAAACATGTTTTTCCTTTGAGACATCAACAAATGTCAAATGCAGAAGGACCCTGGTGAAGCCAGTGTCCTGGTGAAATCACCTAAGAAGCAGGTCCCCTTGAGTGCGCCTGACCAAATCTGTCGGACCAATTGCCCTGAGTCTCAAGCTCAGGACCATCTCAGAACTCCGTACTTAGTTCAACTGGAGCCCAAAAAGGCTCCAAACCAGTGCTTCTCTTCTCATGGCCCCGTAAGCCCTGCCAACAGCTAAGTACAACCTGGTAGACTGTTTCATGAAAACCGTAGTTATTACCAAATTAAGGTCTCTAACATAATTGTTCCCCCCCCCAGATTTGGGTCTAAACCCAGAATTTAGATCCTGACTCTATCTTATCGTTCTCCGCCATTGCTAATAAGACACCAATTATTCTATATGCATCTTTAGTTCCAGTAAGTAAGTCAGTGAACTGTCAGATTAATTATTCAGATTAAGATTCATGCTGATAAATAATAGACTACATTTTAGTTAGTCCCTGTGACCAGACTTGATGTTCATAATCTAATGTCTAATGTGTTGTGTAATTTTCAAGTAGTTTGTTCCTAAACATGACATTTTAATAATTGTAACTGCATGTTTATTGCAGTTTCCATGTCTATTACATAAATCTCACTGACCATGCAGTTAATTTTAAAGTGTGTGTAGTTTGTGTTGTGTAGCCATAAACTCCATTGTGCACTTTGTTTTGGACTGTAGCTTCTCCATTTCCAAGGGGTTTCTGTGGGCTCCTCCGTTTGCTTTTTTGTACATACATGATTGAACACGCATAGATGGATAACATTCAGGTTGAAGTAATCAGCCTAACAGAGCAACTTGGCGCTCCTAGCATGATGAAGACGTGAGCCTGAGGATAGCGTGAGGGAGGAAAACTCTCCAACCTGATATCTTGCTGTGTTGACTGGCATAGCTGGAGCTGCGGAAATGACCAGCTTGAAAGACCTCGTCTCGGCTGGACACACTCACTTTCTCCTCAGGCAGCCCTACAGTAACAACACAAACATCAACACATAAGAAAGACAGACATAGACATTCACAAAATGGGGACTTTAGTGAGGGGACCAGAGGCAGACATCACATCTCTGCAAGTTTGTGTTCTGCTTGTTCATCAGCTGTTTGATAAACCGCTCATTCAGTCTCTGTTGCTGGCTGATTGTTGCACTGTGGAGTGATCCTACTCTCCCTCTGCTCAGCTGAGTGTTTGGGAGAGGAGTGTAGCCTCTCCCTCCTCTAAACAGACTGACACAGCACAAAATACAATGGAGAAAGCAAAGCAGAACAGTCCGTGTCAACCTTTGAGGTTATGGCACGTGACGGTTAAGGGAAGCATGGGGTGCACTGCTTGTTCTGACAGTGGAAATGTATCTATAATGCACAGCTGGAACACTGGGGTCCTCGCTGACAGACTACTGTGCTCTGAACAAGATGTTGCTGCCTGCTAATAGAGCTAGCTTGGTCAGATAATAAGCACTTGCATCTCTGAAAACGTCAAAACACAATTTTAAATTGGTATTACTTGGACAGATTGACCACATACTTTCAGTCCAAGCGGTCACTTTGTCACGTGAAAAAAAATGTCACAACACAACTTGATAAAGTGGCGTAATACCAGTCCTAGGGTGAAAATGAGCCTGGCTCCAAATCTCTGCCATCAGGTGAGAGCCCGATGGCAGAGATTTGTAATCAATTTTTCTGTTGGCCATACCCTACCTCTCAAACATTTCTTCAAAATCTATTCGTTACTTTTTGAGTTAAGCTGTTAACAAACTGGCAAAACAAAACCCCCGCCCTTGGCAGAGGTAGTAGTGAGTAGTTACCTGAGCTTCGTGCTGATGGCTGTCGGGGGTTGAAGGTGTGAGGTCCTTCCATAATGCCCCCTAGTGGCTGCACTGCAGGGTCAGTGCTCTCTCCCTTGCAGTCCAGCTGCAGGTTGGGGTCCTCATCTCCACTGGTTACAGATTTGGCTGTGCTGGGAGGCCTGATGGTGAAATGCATGCAAGGCAAATAAGTGGCTTGAGGTGAAAGTCAGAGGTGCTTGCTGGAGTTCAGAAAAAACAGTTGGTCATTGTTTGGCCTGCTGATTTGGCCTGCTTATTAGCAGTCCACAGTCACAATGTGCATTTCATGTTGAGAGCATTAGCTTACCTCGCTAATCTGTTGAGTAAATGTTCATAAATCCATTTATCATGCTTCATGTTGCACTATCACCATTTTTTGACTTTCTGAGCCTTAATGCTGTAATGTCTCATCAGCATGGTTCTTATATTTCTGGAACACTGACACTCAACTCAGTCCCTTCATATACTGATATTTGCCTTATGGTGAAAGCCTGTTACCAGACAATGCCATTGAAGTGGAGGACATCAATGATTGGTGTTGGGACGGAACAGTTTTCTGTCAGACTCTGAAAACCCACGGAGGTACTTACATTTTAAAACAGGGATCTCCAGACAGAAGAGTCATTCCAATAGTTACCTATTAAACAAATACAGATGTCACTAAACCTTAGTGCTGATCAATTCAGTGTGTGTGTATTGTATGTGTCTGCCCTACCTTGAGGACAGAGTTGTCCTGCCGAGTGTTTTTGGTATCGTAACCCTCCAGGATGCAGCAGCGAACAGTGGAACCTGATCCAGCGAACTCAGCAATGTTGAGATCAGCAAAACCTAGCTGGAGACAGGCGGACAGACGAGTTTTATACAGATCTGAATCAGCAAGAAAGGTTCTTCCTGGAGCACTTTTTAACCACCTTTTTGGTTAGGGTTTTATATGTTCTGTCCACATACAGTACATCACACTCAATCAGTCCTGTTGTGTGAGGAAGTGAGTGAAGGGAAACGGAAGAGTGACTTGAGGTAGAAGTCAATAACCTTCTTTAACCTTCTTTTCTGCCCATTCAGCATTGTTTTCTTCAAAAAGGGCCACAGTTTGTGTTGGTGCTGATGTCTCCATTGTCATTATCGTCCCTGATAACTTATTAAATTAGTGGTGGAAATTAGCTAAGTACATTTACTCAAGTACTGTATTTACTGTAAACATAATTTTGAGTATTTTCATTTTCTACTACTTCCTACTTTGATTTCACTACATCTTAGAGGCAAATATCATACTTTTTCTGCACTACATTGATTTGATAACTTTTACATTTCAGAATCAGACAAATAAAACAAGACTTTGATTCCTGATTGGAAATTCACCAGCTACCCAGCAGTGATTCCCATTATAAGCATATAAGGTAGTGAACATTAGTTCCACCTTTACCAACTGCAACATTACATGTGATGCATTAATAATTGTACTCAATATTATGGTATACATTAATGTGAAATGTGCCACTCTGTAAAGTGAGTATTTTACTTTTGTACTTTTAAGTATATTTTACCTTTTACTGAAGTAAAAGTTTGTATCTTGATTAAAATATAAATTTGAATGCAGTACTTGTATGTGTAACAGTATTTTTTTCACACTATGATTTTGCTGCTTGAATTGAAGCAAAGAATTTGAGTACTTCTGCCATCACTCCATACGAGTACAAATTCATCCCATGTGTGCTTCTAATGAATCTGAAAATATCATTAAACCCATCAAAATGGTTTGCTGAGAAGGATGGCATTTCTGCAAAGTTGCAGCTGAAAATCTGAAGTACAATAACTTGATGATCACAGACTGATAGAAAACAACTATCTCTTCAACTAGTTATCTCTTTAAGCCAGTTTCCACTTGGTGTGTCCATCTACCCCTTCAGTCAAGATATCAAGAATGGTCACAAAAGGTATCCTGACAACAGTGGGTCAGACTGGAATGAAAGTTGCTGTGGGTATGTATGTTCCCACAGTATGATGTATTTTCTATGTATATGTCATGACCTCTTGATCAGCCTTCTAATTCCATTATAAGCCCAAATACCCATATGTAGTATTGGGATAAACTGCCATGACATTTCCTCAGCTCATTCGTGCTCCCCAGAGGAGACACCTTTTTGAACAGGACAGACTTGGTGTTTTCCTCCTGTGCCATTCTCAACTTTGTACACAAGTCACCTAAACTAAACAGCAAACTGTTAAAAAATTTGCTGGACACAAACATGCTCACACATTAAATGAAACAATGTTCTCACCAGCTGAATGTTTCTAGCAGTTGGGACCAGTTCAACCAAAAAGTCATTTTATTTTTCCTGATTAACTCGATGTTCACTTACTAGCTGAAGACTGCATCTTATAGCTGTCAGCTGTTATGTCAATAACTCCGTCTTCATCACATGACATACAGTATCTGTGCTTTCTGAGCTATAAACATTTGATCTCCATGACAACTGAACAAACTCCAAACCGCTGGCAAGGACAGTGAGCCCCTGTTAAAAAGCTCTGTAAATAGTTAATGCATTGGCCTTGTTAGGTTTTGTGGTGTGGTGGTGGTGACAGCAGTGTTTGTTCTGCTTCCTGTCTTGTGGGACAATCATCTCTCCTCCCCTCAGGACAAATTACATTTTTGAGCCTGACTACCGGGTTTAGCCTGATAATCAGAATAAGGTGCCATTTCATTTTACTTTATTATTCATTGTTGATTCTTTTTATTTGTGAAGTGTGGTTTATTTTACCAGTAGTGACAGTTGCAGTTGCTCAGAGCAGCTAAATGTTATGGTTTGTGGTCTGGCTTCCTGTTTTTATTGTGATTAGACTTCCTGTCCTATGTCACGTCACTTGCCCCAGCTTTACTCCGGTCACAATCACCATTTATTGTTTCCACCTGTTGTTTAGCCCCCGGTGTTCTCCCTATATATCCTCCTCCCTTTCCTCAGTCTGGATGCTGGTTCATTTGGTCTCTATGCCTCGTTGTCCCTGTCATTTGTGTATCTGCTCATCACACCCTGCTTGTTCCCAAGACTCAGTGAGTGTCTCCTGATTTGTTTGCCACTCAGCAACTCTTGGACTCTTTGCCTAGCCTTGCCTATGGACTCTGCACTTACCTGCCATCTTGGATTTTGGTGTGTCCCATTAGTTTTGTGTGTTTTCAGTTTATGATATAGCTCCCTGACTGTACCGTTTAGTTGTAGTTTTCTGTGGCAGTCTTTGTGTTGCTTTGTCAGGTCAAGCCCCTTAGTTGTTTTGCTTGTTTCTTTGTTCCGTATCAGTTATATTAAATCTAACACTAACATTTGCCATGGCATGCAGTTACAGTATTTCTCTAAAGTCACACAGTTACTGTGAGACTGTCCTATAAAAATCAACTCTATTCGCTGTATCTGGCTACTGGTTATTATGACTGTTACGTGTTATAGTTTGATAACATCTATTGACTATATAGTAATTATGACAAAAGAAAAGGAGTAATTAACATGACAATATATAGAGGCACAAAGTGATGATTAAGAGGAGGCTGGGGCGTATGGCCAGGTAAACAAAACACAAGGCTTTCTCTGACGAGTGAGGATCAAATCTAGTGTGTGGTTTTGTTCCTAAATGTAAACCAGTAATATTTATTAGTAAACATAACCACGTAGTGTTTGTGGCAAAATGTAATGAAAACGTGAAGGTTTCATAATTATGTTATTGTTAAGCAGTATCTGACCCAGCTCACTTGTAATGGCAGTCACCTCTGAGAGCCAGGTCAGCTCAGCTGGCCAACTACTGACACTGTTCTACTAAAATTGTCTAACAAAAGAAAATTATTAACAATTCCAGTGAGTCTGTAACTATATTATCACAAACACCAGTACAGGTTCTGCATGGTGTAGGAGTGAAGGCAAGTCGACAGTGTCATCAGGTGGGCACCCTCTCACTAACTGGTGTTTGTTGACTTGGGCCCACAACACCACGAAGGCTCAACAGTCTGTTTCAGTGTCCTAGAACCACACCACTCTTTGCCTGCACCCACACACCCAACACAATCCTGAATATCAACATATGCTGGCAGTGAAATCTAATTTGAATCGATCCATTTGTTTATTTATTTTATATATTACAGATATCTGGAACTTTTTTTTCATCAGTGGGATTCAAGAAACTTAAACGACTCCATTTGAAATTATAGGATAATTATTACAAGTAATGAGTACATAGTGTAAAAATGTGGGCTTTAAATCAAAACTTTTTGTTACTTTGTTTTTTTTATCTTTTTCAGGGTGCAGGATATTGAATTTGTTGAAGAATAAAAGATGTGTGCACTCAGTAGTGACAATATTTGAAGGCCTTTACATGACATATGTTTGTTCATAATTCATAAATTTAATTCAAGTTTATGGGATATTAAAATATGAATGTGAACCATTTTATGTTATGTTGAGCAAGTGTAATTAAGCAAGTAAGTTGCAAGTTGTGCATTTTGTCTTTGCTATATTTTTCAGTCTTGTTATATTTAACTGTAATAAATGTTGCTACCTGTAGGGTCGCTAGCAAAGCCTTAGACTAGTTTCAGTCTAGTAGTAGTAGTAGTAGTAGTAGTAGTAGTAAACACAGAACGATCTGTAAGTGACCATTTCACACAGTCTGACTGTGGCCTGTTTTATGCCTCTATAACACACCCCTGTGTTGCTGGCATGGTTGAGCATTTAGCACAACTTTTATCATCACCGATACGGTAAATGTCTGTTGTATAAAGGAAGCTAGGTTCTCTTGGTTTATGATCTCAAAGTTCAAACTTAGTCACTGTAAGTTGTACAGGTTTAATATAGCATATATATCAACATAGCTGATAATCAGAAAATAAACTTACTTTTGAGAAGGCCTTTCCTCCTTTGAGCTCCTGGAAACAATACAGAGCAAAAAGTAAATGACCAAAATCTGACGACTGTAACAAACTTGTTACATTGGGATTGTACTGTATTTTGGTTTACCTTGCGTACAGAGACCCTGCAGATGCAGGGGTCCAACACTCCAGTGATTGGATTAGCGCTCATTTTACACACAAAAGAGAACTTCTTCTTCCATCGAACGCAGTTTTGCTGCACCTCCTCCCTGTGTGCGCGCGCACACACACACACACACACACAATAGTTAGGATAGACTGTCTAGGAAGACAAATGTTTACAGCATACAGTTTAATGTAAAACTATCTGTGTATAGATGCAAACAAAAAGCTCAACAACCCCTCTGACAATAAAGTTATAATCCCATAGGGGACTGTCTACATCTGGGCTCCCTGAACCGTGAGGCCCTTTTTCTCTATTTATGGTGCCTATGGTTGCACTTCTTGCAAAGGATAAACCAGGTTTACAGATTACATCACATTTTTTATATAACATGACAAAAAATATTAGTCTAATCTGTGGTGGTCTATATGTAATGACAAAGATTAATAATTATTTTAGATTAGATTCAACTTGTACATTACACATGTACAAGGCAATGAAATAGAGTTTAGCATCTAACCAGAAGTACAACAGCAGTGCAGAGTGTGCAGTATCTACAGTATGTACAGTCAGTACTAATTTACCGATAGATATGTACAATTGATATTTACAGTAGGATATGTAAGGTAATGTACAATATACAACAGACTATGGATTTAAATTATAAGTAATGGGTAATGTACAATAAGTATATAACACTAGTGCAATGGGATAAAATGGAATGAAATAGTGCAGAATAAGAAGATAACATTACGTTACATGAGTTAACAGTTCAGTGGATGTAAATAGTGAAAAAAAAAATACAGTATCTGCATATGTACAGTGCAATGAATAACAGAGCAGTATTCTGTGAGCATGTGCAAATTAACAGATCACTTCAGTGTTACAGGTAACCGAAGTGTATTGCATTAGTCCCAGGAGGAGAGATAAGAAGGTGTGAGGTGTGTGTGTGTGTGTGTAATAGAAGAAGGTGGGGGGGGTCAACGGGGGACAGAGTTCAGTAAGGAGACAGCTGTGGGGAAGAAGCTGTTCCTGAGTCTAATGGTTTTGGTCTGGAAGCTCCTGAAGCGCCTCCCAGAGGGCAGGAGGTCAAACAGTTTGTAGGCAGGGTGAGAGGAGTCCTTGAGAATGCTGCGAGCACGTTGGAGACAGCGTTCCCTGTGGACACCCTCAATGGCTGGAAGTGGAGTCTCTGTGATTCGTTGGGCGGTTTTCAAACTCTTCTCGTTTGCGACAGCGCTGTGTGTATATTGTGTCGACAGCAAACAGTTCAGTCCCAGTGACCCCTTCTGCAGTCTTTATGACCCTTTGAAGAGCCTTCCTCTCTGCCTGTATGGTGTTACCATACCAGACTGTGATGCCAGTGGTGAGGACGCTCTCTACCAGTCTTCTATAAGCCTGGGTGAGGGGGCGACAGTTCAGACCAGGGGCCCGTTTCAAGAAGGAGGTTTTGTTGAAACTCTGGATTTGTTAACCCCAAAATGAGGAAAACTCAGAGTTTTCGGTTCCAGAAACGGAGGTAACTTAAACCTGTGAAAGCGGGGTAAGTTAAACCCGTTTCAAAAAGAGAGGTAATCTAAACTCAGAGTCAGTTACTATGGCAACTTACTCTGTGAACCTAACCTGGTTGGGAGCAGGTTTTGTTCGGGAAACCCAGAGTTTCCTCCGGTCTCCGCCCCTTTTTAAAGTGAAAGGTGTTTAAATAGGCCTACCTCATTTAATCTTTCAGTACATTCATAGATTGCACATGTTTCCCTCACGCAGAGACCAAAATGGCGTGTCCATTCATAGAGGATCCTGTAGATGAGGACGCTGTATTAATTCGCAGGGAATTGAATTTACGTCGGGAGAGGATATTGAGGCCACGAGTTGATTTTTTGTCATATCCCCATGTATTTTTATTTGAGCGGTACCGTTTTTCTAGAGAGTCCATAACATACAGTATATCAATAATCTTATTGATTGATTTTGATTTGATTTGATTTATTCTTTCAAACATGTAGAAACAAATGATATCAACACACACACATAATTTACACAAATCCAACCAATGCTAATCAAGAATCAGTTTGCTTATACCAGCACATGTTTGAATGGAGTAGGAAGAAGTCAGACTTATCCAGTCCTACCCCATGACATCATCTTATACAAAAAATTTCATGCATCATTGGCTGCAAGCAGTATCTCTACATAGTTGATTCTCTTCTTC